ATTCTTTACTTGGTTGAAGGACTTTCACTAACATGCTCCATTAAGAATGTTTGTAACAGCTGCATTCAATTTTTTGACACTATCACTATCAATCTGAATTGCTTCCATTAAACTTGCACTGTTTGTTTTAGCTTGTAAAATAAATAGCTTTAAATCATTCAAAAGAAAAGAGAACACAGATAATACATCTTTTCGCTGTCACAGGTATTATTTTGTGAAAAAAGGTCATCTTGTGTTTGCAAAGCTGTGTGTCTCTATTACGGCAAGTGATTCAGAGAGAACAGCTTACTTAGGATCTATTTTGTTTTCATTAGACATTTTTAACTGCAAGACAGTTAATTATTCATTCTGAACATATGCAGGACATCCGGAAGGTAGGTTACAGGATGACCAAAAGGTCCTGAAATGAAGTGTGTTATGTCATGAAACTGAGGAAGAGAAAAAGGGAGAGTGGCACTGAAGCTTGTTCAAGTGAATTTGAGAAACAAAGATGTCTATTTCTGAGGAGCAGGCCAGTGATGCAAGGCAGTACTGGCAAGCAAGTAGGGCATGCACAGCATTTCTATGATCTTTGATGTAGACTTAAAACATGTAATTCTTGAGGAATCTATCACACCCCATGCTCTGGCTGACACTGCACATACCCCAGCTCCAGAAAGTTCCATCATGTGTAATGGGCAGAGCTAGAAGGCTGTGTGGACGCCAGAGCCTACAAATTTCCACACCTTTAGCTGGCATGCCAAGAACAGAGAAAAGACAAAAGGAGTAAGTTACGCTAGAAATAAAAATAGACCAGCTATCTGGGAAGACCATGAGACTTGGCAGGTCATGATTTGAAAGGAACAAAGGCATTGTTTCTTTGCTTTCCTGTATGATGGATGTTTCTGACGCAAAGGGAGTGGAAATGGTAGAGATAAAACTGTGACTGAACCCCTACTGACACCCATAATAGAAATGATTTTTGTAGACTGGGCATCACATTAACAGGCACTGCATATGAGGAAGAATGTGCTATATTGAAAACCTGAAGCCCTGAAATGGGTAATTAAAAGTGTCTTTGCCTTTACAGTCCAGATAGCACAATTTTGTATAAATTATGGATATTTTAAAATTTTTAATAATTTAATTATTTTCTTTCTTACACTACTCTTAGTGCTATTAAATTATTATCTAAAGGAAGGGGAGTAATGGAAATCATGCACAGATATATATAACCCATCACATGTCAAATTATCCACTTCATCTGAGCAATAGTGTCACTATCAGTAAAGATGCATAGGGAGATCCTGCATGTTTTTTTAAAACACAGTGCACAGGCACACATCAAATATAGTTAGTATAAGTTCATACAGTAAAAGGATACATTACTTGTTACTGGAATTAATGGAATATGTTCCATCCATGTGGACATGCTGATATTAATTAATTCCAAAATATGTTGACCTTAAAATGGTGAAGGGCTGCTTTAAATTAGACCCATACCCATTATTGGCTTTCAGGTTTTAACTTGAAACATTAGCTTTACAATTTTGGAGATTTACTTTGTGTGTGTATATGCTTTTATATTTATAGTTAAGACTATGCAGACAAACATCAAATAGCCTCAGATATTGACTAAAATTTATACTTTATTGCAAATGTCTTTGCAAGTCATTATGTTCAAGCTCCACCACCACTTTGGGAACCAAACCCATAAAACATGTATGAGTGTTCAACTTGCTGTGTGGAGTTACAGAAAATTATATTAGCATTATAGATTGTTTTTAAAAAGCATTCAGTCTAATTACAGTTGAACTGTTATTTTGACTTGCTATGTCTAATGGTGTCCTTGTTAATTTACAAGAACAGCTTCTATTTCATTGCTCTCAAATGCTTCAAAGATAAACAAGTAAAAAAAAATTCTAGAATTTTAAACCTTCTAATATTTTCCATTAGTCAGTGCACAACTTCCTTTGCAAAAGAGCTGCCCATTTCCTTCCCACACTATGCAATCTCACATGTTTACATCTCTGAAGTTAGCAGCTGTCCTCTTCTCTTTGGCAGCTGTGAAATAGATTGCACCTTTGATCTCACTACAGATAACTGTCATTCCCAACAGATACTGACATATGAACCTTCTCAAAGAAGTTGTTTGTTGTTTCTCCCATAAAAAAATTAAAATTTGTTACAGCCAAGGCATTAATGACACTGACCACATCTCACAATAACATTACCTTTTATTAGAGATCTTATTTTACATATCCCCATAAGATATAAAACCTTCCAAGAGGAAATATCAAAAACCTTCAGCTGAAATCAGTTTGTTTCACACAATATGAGCAAGTAAACCAAAGAAAATTAAGATAAAGGAATGTAAAAAAACCCCAAACCATAAAATCAGAACAGGTACAACTCTTGTATGAAAAGTAATTACAAGGTTTTAAACCATTTCTTACACAGCATTGTAATTAAAATCATACTGGCAAGGTAAAGATGCTTGCTTCTCTTAACCAATAGCTACAAACCCAGCAGCTATAAAAACAGAAAAAAACCCCTAAAACAATAAAATTGAATTATATGGCCAACTCACAAAAAAAACCCCAGCGTGAGAATTCATTAAGACTTGTGCAAAACAAAAATCCAACAAAAATCCAAAGCAAGGAAAACACAGCCTCATTGACAGCAGTATTCTGAACCAATTCAAGCAAAATCCTTTTTGAGACTTTGACTGGAGTTTTGATTTAGTAAGGGGTTTCAGGTAAGGACCTTGAATTGAAAGCTGTCATTACACAAAAAAAGAGCAAAGGAACACTGATTACATGTGCTGGTTAAGGAAGATTCAGGCACCATGATTGTACAGCTGATGACAAAAGTAAAGAAACAATGCTATATGAAGAATCTTTCAAAGCAATTCCAAGAGGCAAAATACTTTAAAATTTTATTGCATCAAAATTTTCCTTTTCTGCCTAGCAAAACTGAAAGAGTATTTTGAATGTTTTCCTGCACAGAACACATAAAAGTATCTTAAACATTTTAATTCTGAAGAAGCCACAAAATAAGTGTTATGAGAAGCTGGCAAGTCTACTAAGCTTTGAGTTCCAACAAAAACCAGCATTTTCAAATATTTTTTCTAAGAAGTTACAGTACATGTTTATTGCATGAAAACATCCATTTATTGGATTTATCTGATTCTTCCATTTGTGTTTAGTGATTCCTATATTCTTGATGTAACTTGCACCAGATCCTACTAAAGTGTTCCCATTATTACAAAACACACAGCAGATTGAATTAAGAAAATCTACACAATCTCAACAGAGATCCAACCTGTGACAATGCATAAAATCTAAGTATTACTTTCATTTTCTTTTTAGATAGCCTGTAGCTACCTGAAATAATTTGATATTTGATATAATTGTTGAACAACAATGATAAAATTAAATACAGGAGGCAATACTAGAGCTAGCACATCTTTTTATCAGTTATGATGACTTTTCATGCATTAGTACTGAGGATAAGCAACAGGGTATGGAAAAGTAGAGCATAAGCGACAGACAGAAGAAAGAGCTATGAAAATAAGTGACGACTATAAAATGGGATCATACTCAAGTGAATGTTTATATATATTAACTGTAAACAGCAGCTCTACTTAGGGAAATACTTTCCACACTTGGATGGCTTAAGTACTAAATATGAATTAACATGGGAAAAAGCAAAGTCTCCGTTCTTCCATAACATGAACACTGGCAACGTGAGGTTGTAAGTTTGTAAAATGTTGTTTAAAATATAGGCACATGATGTGGAATTAGGTCACCACAGTCTGTGACATCCAAGCACATGTTTTGATGGGTTTGCAAACTATATCTTGCTTACTATCAACTCTTTGCATCAAGTTGCAATTTTCTGGAAAGCAGCTGAATTTAGCTTCTACAGCAATTCTCTTTTTGTTGGTGTTTCTCATCATAACATCATATTAATACATTCAAATAGTCAAAATGTTCAGAATAAGGTAGCAAAAACTTGGTGCAGGAGTACATAGATCAGTGTGGCCAGCATTGTCAAATAGGAGATACACAGCTTAAGTATTATATAAACTACCTTTTCCCCAAAAACATTAACATAGACACCAAAATTATAACAAGACATATCAAAAATAAGGCACATTTATTTTGATATGGTAATCTTGAAATAGAAAACTCATTTCAGAGAACACTGGTATCTAAATGAGTTTTATAAAAAATCTTGTATTCATGATAATTATGGACATTTCTCATCATGGTAATGGAATAATTGCACATATCCCAGTGTGTCAAGTAACAAAATGGGAGTTTTATTAAACATTTCCATTGCAAAATTACTTTGTAGGTTCAGATTTTTCTATTTACATAACTCAGGTGAATGGTAGAAGTATTAAAATCTACCATCACTTATCACAAGTACTGCAGGCTTTCATTTTACCACAATTAATAATCCCCTTTGTGTTGAATAAACTGAAATTAATTGCGGAATAAATTGAGATTATTGTCATTTATATAAATAATTGCAAATATTTGGACATTAGCTACTACACAGGAACATTTTATTCCATTTTATTTCCAAGCTGTATCAGGACTTTTTACACTGAGTTATTCGCACATAAATTCATCAAGAATCAGGAAAAGAAGGCTGTTTAAAATCTAATCCCCTGTTTATGAAAATTAAAACACCAGAAACATCATTAATTAGCATTTAACCTGAGATTAAATCTGTTGAGAGGTTAACATCCACAGAAATTTCTCCATTTGTTGTATTAACTGAAAATGGTGATGCTATTTTATGGGGAAAAAAATCCAAACAAAAAAAAGTTGCTTACAACATGGCTTTTCATTATGTTGGTCAAAAAAAAATTATAGAAAGCATCTTTTTCTCACAGTATCCAGAAGCTGGAATAACATTAATGTGCCTCTTATTGCACATGAAACTCAGAGGAGATACAACTGCAGATTCTTCTTTATCTGAGTATTAAAGCAGGATTTCATCTCAGCCGAATCCGGAATGTATTTATCTCCATAGAACTCATATTTATTTCACTTATATTTCTGGCATCTGGAGGTGAATGCATCAAAGATAAAGATGTGGGTGTAAGACTTTCCACTCTGAATTTGCTAAAGAGTTTATGCACCTTTATCTGGAGGGAAGAAAACAAAACAAGACAAAAAAACTACATTTAGAAAAAGTTCCTTGCAGGAACCAGAAATTCTCATGCCCAAGATATTGAATATTTTTAAATGTCATAGATTAAATACTGTACAATAATTTAGATCTTTTTAGACAGTAGTCACTCACTACATTCCAATATAATTTAATTAGTATATTCAAAATTACTACAAATATTTCACTTTGAACTCTTCTTGTTTCCAAATAAAGTGATATTTACTCTTCCACCCAAAAGAAAATCCCAAACCTATTTTAAAATTCCTATAGATTAATAACCATACCTTTCCCTGAGTGGTAGAACAGAGCAGACCCGTGTCTCTGTTTGAAAATCTACAATCAAATCCCTTTCTGTGAAGAATCAGAGCAGCTTCATCAGATGGTTTGGTATCCACCTACAAAAAAACACTATAGAAGATTACTCACAAAGTATCAGTCAGGAAGACATTTTAGGACACCAAAAAAAATTGTCTTTATCATACACTGAATAGAGACATTTACATCTCAAAAAAGCTCAGCCTAGATTGAACTGTCATGCCTTTTTTTAAATTTTATAAAGCTAAACATAGAAAGAAGTAAATGGCAAACAGTTGAAACATATAATGTACTACAGAATATAAATATAGGTAATTGAATTTAAGGGTCAACAGATGTACATGTACTCATGACTCAGAACTGAATGTAGCTATCATACCTATATTAAATGGTTCCCCACAAAAATTATATGGCAAAACAGAAAACAAACTAGAAATCATACGTTAACTGCAATACTCAGTTTTACATATTCAATGGCATTATGTTGAACAAACTTTCATACAGCAAAAATGCTCTCTAACTCAGCTTAAGTATACAGAAAAATGTACACTGAGACACACATATGAAATAAATGTTATGTCTAAGATGTTCAGTACTTTTGAGCCTCAAGAAACATCAAAGAGTAAGCTGCTCCTCACTGGATTTGTGCTCCCAATCTTTCTCCGGCTCCATTGCCCTCCCTTGAACATGTTCCAGCCCCTCAACAACTTTCTTGTGGCTGCACCCCTACACACACTGTAGTCACTTATTTAATATGGTGCATTACTTTCTTTTTTAATTATTGCTGGTTTACATTCTTCCGCTCTTAATCTTATTATATATATATAATAAGAGCATAAAAAAGATGGTTATATCCAAAGCCATGCCAGTTCTTCAGGCTATTTTTCTCTTATTTATTTCTGGTCTACTTGTTCTTATACTGGTGCTTTTTCGCAAAAGCAGCTGTCATGAGTTAAGTTCGTTTCTGGTACTACAGAATCTATCTATTGCTTGGAGAAATCAATGCCAACAAGCATTAGGCACTCTGTGATACATTAGCTCCTGAAGGTGTACCAAACAAGACGTCTTAATCTAGCAGATACAAATTTCTTTTCATAAAGGTGATCATGGATCAGCTTGCACTAACTTCTTTGAAACCCATTGTGACAAAAAAATCAAAGTACAATAAATTCATAGTATAAAGTACTCATTCATATAATAAAAAAATTATAAACTTTGTGGGTTTAGGTTCCTCATTTAAAATGGTAAAAATTTACTCAATAGTATTTGGAGTTGAAATTAGATATTTTTTCCATAAAACACTAACAGCTAGAAAATTTGCATAGTTTACAAATCATAAATAAAGCTCTGCTTGAAAATATTTTGTGAACAATAGCTTATAACCACCTAAAATCAGCTTTTTAATTTACGAACAGTGCCTACATCCAGCATATGAAAAAAGTTTCCAGTATTTATTAACACTGATGGCTAAAGAAATTCTTATGCTATTCACTGGAACAGCAGTACCACTTTCTATATGAAGTGAGGTAATAGCTGTGATGTTTTCCCCCTCCTACTATGAAACACTTGACATGATTTTCATTGTCACTGATGTGACAGTGTTGCACTTAAAAGCAGATATTTTTAAGCACATAAAATAATACTGTCTGCTTAAACATCAGATTAGTGGAACATTAAAATTCGAACTAAAAAGCCTGACTTCCTATGGGGTAAATTAATGTTAGAAATGACAAGGCAGTAATGGGTATCAACACTTCCTCTAATTCACTTAAATTATCTTCTAGTAATCTGCATAAATAATGCATGTATGCATTTCAAATGATGACATGAATATTTCATCTCCCAATTTTTTAGAATTAAATATTAACCTTATTAAGATTCAAAAGATTTAAAACAAAAAGGTAACACACACAACTAATGATACCCTGAGAAAAAGTGTTTTGGTCAGTATAAATATCTATGATTTAGTATTCCATCTTCTACCACGAACATATTTTTTTACTGTGTAAAAAAATAAAGCTGGTCTAACCCATTATCAAAGCAGGTGAAAGAGCACAGCCTCCACACCTACTTTAACTTACCTGTTCTTATATCATCTCTAGGTAAATTAGATTAAATACATTTAAGGTTCATGAATGTCTGAGCAAGGATGAACTTAGTTTACACCAAATGCACCCTCCAAACCTGACAATGCTAACTGCATGAAAACCTGTAACAGTCTTCTCAATTTTCAACAAGTTACAACATTCATATCCTTGTAAAACTTCACAGCACTGTTATTCAACAAAAAAGCCCAAAACACTGTGCTATTAAATCTCTAACAAGCTTTATAGAAGAGCTGCCAAAGTTTGATTTGATTTTGATCTCTGAGAATTAAAATGTGACCTTATAAGAAAACTTAAAAAAAAAAAAAAATTGTTAGGCTTTCTCATAACCAGTATCCCAGGACAATGCTGCTAAAATTTTGATGAGAAAGAAAAAAACATTTAAACTCTTTTAAAATTCAATTACTGTAAGCTAATAGACACACACTGAAAAAATTAGGCAATATGGCAAATTTATGTATTTATGCTTAGTATAAAGGGACAAATCTACTGTGTTCTAGATCTTGAATCCCAGTTTATTTACATAAGGTAAAATATGTGTCTTCTCAAAAGCTGGAATTCTGTTAAGAAAAACAAATCTTTAAATGTTGTAATCCTAATGGATTGGACTCTTCCATGACAAGATGTGACGTCTTACAACAAAAACAATATTCCTTCTGATTTATACCTTAAATCTTAACAATTATTTTAATTTGGTACCCTATCATCTGTAATTGTAATGGATTATAGAAAATCAACTTCAACAGTTTAAGCTATGGAGAGGCGTAAATTTCTGGAAAAAAATTCATTGTGTCAATTAGCCAGAATTATGTCACTTGTCATTCAAATTCTTGGAAGCAAGAGAAAGGAAGCAGAAAATGAAGAGAGATTTACAGAATTATTTACAAGGCATAGCACCATTTTTGCTGTGGGGAAGAACATTCTGTATCTCTAATGACAGTGTTCCTATCCTGTGACTGCTGCAAGCTCTCACTTTGAAGTGGACACATTAATGCTGCAAGCTCAAGAGCTGTCGATCAGTAATCAATGAAACACAGCTGTGGACAGGGAAGAGATCACAGCCTCAAACAGTCCTGTATCAGCTGGGACAGTGGGGCCTGAACAGCCCAGATAAAACCAGAGAATTCACTTAGAAGTAGTAACATTGAATTCAAAAAGCAGACATTGAGCAAGCCTGTCTTTTCACAGCTTTCATACACAGATCATACAAACAAGGGCTTAGATTTACACCTCAAAAAGAGAGGGGAGATGTTCATAAAAGTCTGCCCCTGAACTTAGTATGTTGAAGTAAACCTGTGATGCTGAGCGGGTTTAAGTAAATTAAAATATACACAGCAAAGTATGAAATATTCATTTCACCTGAAGATTTAATTTAGTATCAGGGTCTTCCTAACTTTTCAAAGGCACAAGACCCATAAAATCAAGAAATCTTCCACTTTGAAATTCAAAATAAGAATCAGTCATGGCTGAAGGGACTTACACAAGATTGAACTATTTAGACAGAAAGCACGAGAAAACAAACATTGTTTAAGTTTTCAAATACAGATTAAAACAGAATGAAGATCAGATTAAGCAGAATATAATCTCATGTTAATACAGACAAGCCCAGCCATCATGGAGACTCTAGAGGAAAAAGGACAAATAGTTTGTATCTAAGTATGCCAGAACTGAAAAGGGATTGCACTGTGCTAGCAGCACTGATGAACAGCACTGCAATACAACATGAAGTTAACATAATCACATTTTTAAAGGAGCTGAAAAATTGAAAAGAATTTATAGAACAGTTGGCAGGAAAAGAATGCAAAATGAGTTCCAGTCATTCAGCTAATCAAAGGGAAAATTAAATTCTGGTGGTTACATACCTTTCTTTACTTTGAAGGAAAAACAGAAGTACAGAGAGCCTTTTTTTGTTAGAGTTTTTTGTTGGTATTTTGTTTGTTGTTTTGGTTGGTGTTGGCTAGATGTTTGGGTTTTGTTTGTTTGGTTTGGTTTTGGTTTGCTTACCAGAGAATGTTTTCACAGGAACCAATCATGAGATGCTGTTGGAATAACTAAATTAGATCTTGTAGCTAAGCTTAACAACATTTTAACAAAAAAAAAAAAATTGGGTTTAAAACCATATTCTTTATTAAAAATATACTCAGAACAAAATCTAATGACCTTAAATTCAATTCTTCTAATATAGAAAAGCCTGAGGTATGAATGGTTCTCTCTTAAACTTTGGGAAACTATTGAAAGATACCCCCTCCAGAGACAGAATCTTGCATTATGCAGACTAATATGTTGTGGAAAAAACACAATCCCTTCATTCCTTGTTACTCAAACAGACACAAATCTCTAGTTCTTGCAGAACTAAGAAAAGCTCATAATCACACTGCAGTTTATCGTATCATATAAACCCTCTAATACAAAGTACTTTACAATAATAAATTATTTTACTATACCAATAAACTATATCATATGTTTGCAAAAACCAGTGGTTTGGCCTTACCTTTGCTTGGATTGTCCTCAGATTGACTATATGCATGTCACAAGGCATGGACGACATCAGTGGAGAAAAAGTACTTATCAACTCTGGGACACCTGAATCTGCATTTGTTGTCATTGGAATTACAGGATGATTTAAGAAGAGAGAAGTCATATGGCTAAGAAGTGATGGAAAACTGACTGGTGCCTTCTCTTCATTCTGCAAAATACCAACAAATTATTCAAGTTAATATACCATCATGGTATGTTTCTAAATTTTGAAACCCACTTACTTTATACATTATTCCAATAATTACATACAAAATTTTAATTTTTAGACCACCCATTCAATTACTTTTGGAAAATTTTGATAATCCACTAATTTTCTTCTATTGATAGGTATATTTGCTGTTTCCATAAACAATAATCTTTCAAAATTATGATGACACCTAATTTTACAACATTCTTTGTGTTTCTGTTAGCCCCTGATATTTGAACAATACAGTTTGGAAAAAGAAATTAGTTACTACTTTAGCAAATTGCTCCTATTTATCTCTTTGTATATGGAGAGGCAGAGAACCTTTTGCAGGCCTCCTTTTCCACATTATTTTCTGACCTGTACTTCTTGCTTTCTCCAACTTGTATCTCAAATCCCTCTTTCTAATTTAAATCTATTTCTCTCAAACTATTACTGGAAGAAATTGCAACAATCATCTTTGTTCTGGTCTGCATTGCAGAAGATTTCTTTCAGAAATTTTATTTCAATGTCATGCCAGCAGGAATCAAAGGTATTTTATCCCAATATTTTACACATTTTCTATTTTCCAAAATTCCTTATTTGAGGTGTTTTTACTTGGCTGCAGAGGCTGCCTTACAAACCTGAGATGACCAAATCTTACATATTCACAACAACCAGTTAAAGCTCCAGAGAAGCCAAGAAAAGAAAACAAAATAACTTTAAACAGGCAATTTCTATTTTAGAATGTCAGTGAAGATAAGAGTAGAAATGGAAGTGAAAACTTCTTTTGCTCTTATTTTTCCCTTGCATACTTAATCAGATAAATCCCTGCTTATTGGTGATATTTAGCAAAGACTTTGCAGAAAGTTTATTGAAAATATAGTATCTTAAGCACTGTTACATTACTTTTGCATTTTATGATAGGCTGGAAACACAGAAATAAGTACTTTAAGGAGACACTTAAAGCAAAAGGAAAGATTATTTCTCAGCTTATAACAGAAAACCATAACAGTAATTTCTGTCTTGGGGTGTGTTTGCATGTATGCATATTTCTTTATATTTCTGCAGTAGCATGAAATACAGCTGACAGTGAAGAAACTGAAAGTATTCCAGGCCTGAATCAATGAAAGATAGTAATTTCTACTTTATTCTTGGTGCTTTCCCCAGTAATAAGTAACACTCTGGATCTACTAAGCATTGAGGCTTAGTATTTTTAAGCATCTGTTATGACCACCAAATGATAACAGTGGATCATTGTAAAGGATTGCTTCTCCATGCGTCTCATTGCATTTATTTCTATTGAATACCATCTGTCATCTTATGGAATATTTAATCACTATTGAGTTTTCTAATTCCTCAATTCAGCTTTGAATTTTTTTTCATTACCTAGAAAAGTTCTGTATCACTGGTAGACTTCATTGCCATGATTTTCTTCTATTCTAATGACAGTATGAGCAAGCTTGCTCTATGCACAGCTTAATAGAAAAGTCTTCCATTCAAGTGCCTGAATACTTCCATTCAAATTTTCCTGAATGGGAAAATGTTCAGATCCCTGTTCTTTAAAAAAAGAGATCATTTTTTCACCCTAAAAGGAACAGTGCTCATTCTGTTGCCATAGAAGTTCTAAAGTCAGTCAAAACATTTAATTGCCATTTATTTCCTCATCTTCCACCTTTTTTTTTTCCTCTGTGTAAAGTAACTTGATTGCTTGCATCTGAGAACTTAAATTGAGGTCTTCTAAAACATCTTACAAATCACACATGAATCAGAAAAATAATCTATTCATCCTTTTATACTATTTAAAACAAAATAAGCAGATAAGCAGATAAGCACAGCCTTGAAGGACTGGCAAATGTTAGATCCTGAACTGATTCAACTTGGCTCATTTTTGTTCTCACTGCATCTAAATGTGTTACCACTGGCAGGAACATTGTCCTTATGCATTATCCACTTTGGAACTAAGACTTAGGTGGAGATTTCATATTGAATCTTGTATTCCCACATCTGGAATGACAGTCAGTTCTGGATGGTTGCACCAGCAGAAAAAGTGCAGCCATTCCCCGAATCTGTGTAAGAGCAATGGGAATGGAGCATACAGAAGGTGTCAAAAGCTGCCAGGAGACCAAGCGAAAAAGGTTTTTGAAAGCATGGTGAAGACAATGCTTTCACAGAAGACTGAGAAGGGACTCTTCAAATCAATCACACTCTCCCCTAGGTACATCACAATCATGCAAGGGCTGGAGGATGTCTTTACCCGCAAGTCTAGTGATCCAGAATTTAAACAGGACTGTCTGGAAAGAGAGATGAGAAGGGGGTACACACAAACAATGGGAAGAATATTTACTCCATGCACAACTTCACCATGTGGATGGCTTTTAGCCGTGTCCCACTGATGTGCATCAGAAGATGCAGTCCCACAGTCTCCATCTAATTAAAGTATTGCTGGCTCAAAAGTGACGTAATTTTCTCAATTTCCATGGAGGCATTTATTACTCAAAGTGTGAGTGGAGCTCCTCTAGCTGCCTTACAAACATTAAGTACTGGCAAGAATCTGATGAATGCCAGATGATGACGTGCTGGCTTAATAAGCTCAAATCAAAGCAAATACTGCCTTTTTAACCATCTTACAGTACATCCACATACAGGTATGCAATTGGAAACTGGAAACACAACCTCTTGAATGACTGTGTAATAAACATAAATGGAGCCTTCCCTTGTCATCAAAAGTAAGAGTAATTCTAAATTTTCAGTTTTGAGGAGACATAAACCATAATCCAATATAATTTTAGATCACAATTTACAACAAGTTTTAAGAATAGCTTCATCTATAAAAAGTGCCTTTATATCTGAAATGAGCTATTTTCTTGATACTCACAGAAATAATTGAAAGGCTTGGGTTGGAAAAGAACTTAAAGGTCAAGCTGTTTCAACCCCTCTGCCACAGGCAGGGATGTCACCTACCACATCAGGTTACTCAGGGTCCCATTCAACCTGGCCTTGAACACTTTCAGGGATGGGGGACAGGGAGAAATCTGATTTTTAATTATGCCTTAACATGTGTTATATATGAGGTGAAGGATTCCTGTAGGGGTTGTACACATGCTGGAAGCCCTGTCACGAGGGAGGCTTTGCCTGGCAGCTGGTCAGTGGAGAGAAGGTTCCACAACTGGGCTGTGAGCAATCCCCTACCATTTATTGGTGGCACAGATGCCCATGAGACTAGGAAAAAATATCAGGGAAATCAGGCTGTGGGAGGGATTTCAGCCCATACAAGCAGGTAATGTGACATAAGGGGACATTAAAATTCTTGGAGGGATCAGGGGTTCGCTCAGAGGGTCAGCTTGACCACCTCCCTTCCCTCACTTTTTCCTCCCTGTCGATGACTTTCCTGCCCACACCTGCTCTGCCCTGCTTCACCAGTCCCACAAACCAGCTCAGCACTGCGGCCGCTGGGTGTCCGCTGCTCCCAGACGCCGCAGCTTCACGCCCTGCGCTGCCCGCTGCCTCTGGGAAAAGTCACTCTGCCTCCGAGACTCAGAGGGTTTTCTGCTAAGAGTTTAAATTAAGTAACTAATGTCCTTAATTAGAGGGGGGAAATGCTAATTAGACTCTTCAAAAATCATTTCATAACTGAACAGAAGAAATCAATGGAAAATTCTGTAGAGGAGAAAGTAAAGCTGAAGGAGTTGATAATTGGACATCAATTTAGTTAATGGAGAACGAATGAACTTTTCAACACAGACAAGTAATCTAAAATTTCCCATATTAAACTAAGGAAAGGAAACTGAGGCAGACAATTTATCAAATCACATTATCTTGACTATTTCCTCCTCCTCCAGAGTCTTCTCTGCAGTGACAACGTCACCAAAAAAACCTAAATCATAACAGTAAACCCCCTCTGGCACCCACACTATCTAATCTAACATGCTGAAATGTGGAAGCTGACTTAGTGTGTTAGAACAATCAAATACAATCTGGAAACAGGTATAATTCTGGGCCTGCTGAATCAAGGGATGGATACCAAAATAGTCTGATATCAAACCACTTGGATTATAGCTGGAAATGAAAAGTTTCTCATTCTCTTTCATGTTGTGTCAGGAAACAATTTTTATCAACTTTCTCTTTGACAGGTTCAGAAAACTAGCAGGCAGCACTTTTCAAAGGAGAATGTTTCTGGACTGAAAAATCTAACTTGTGGAGCAAAAACACTTTTCAGAACATCTTCATTACCAAAGCATATGGAGAAAATATTTTTAAATATCTTAATCATAAACTAGCAAATGACAGCAATCAAGAATGTGAGTCAAAGAATTCCAAAGACAAATACGGGGAAAAACAATTGTTTCATTCTGTACAATTCAAAGACTGACAATCCATCAGTATGTTTGATGTGATGCCACATATGAGAAATTGATTCTGTAATATGGTGCTAGTCAGCTCATAGGTGAGAAACAAACAGCAGACAAAATCACTGATGATGTGAGTAACAGGTTTACAACACGTGACAAAAATAAGTGACAGGTAAGGGCAGATACCTAAGCTTTAAAATTACTTACATTTTTCACCAAATGCAAACAGCTTGAATCCTTAACTACAGTGGCTCCCCATTTGTGGAAGATGGAGTCTCTAAGCAGGAAGGAGTGAGAAATAAGCATAGTGCTCTATACACACATTGTCCTAAGGCTTACAACTTAGAAGAGAAATTCAGGTTTTGTGTCAGACTGACACTAATCTAGTTCATCAAACTGACATCAAACAGTAAATGGCTTCAACTTAAGTTACAGGCTTTGCACGCAAGACTGCCTGGATGTTATCTCACCAAGTGAAAACGAGATGTTCTCCCTTTAAATTCATTCAAAGTTGCACATTGTAATACAAAAAAAAAATCAAAGTCTGACAAGTTCTGAAAGTCTTCCAGATACAGATGATTCATTCCCCTTCCTCAGGTTGATACCTGGAGATAGATTTTTGCATGCCTGTAA